ATGGGGATTACTGAGAACTGGATCAAGATCTTTGCTTACTGTTTGATGAAAGGTGGGTCACCCCCTCAACTGTCGCCTCCTGGCGGTCGAGAAGAGGAAGAAGGCGGAGAGGCAAGATAATCCGTGATTAAAGAAGGGTCGCAAATGAACGACTTGGGGACCCAAGTACGGCCCTCCCAATCGATAAGGTATTGCCAGCCCCTAACCCACTGACCGGAGTCTACGATCCGTCAGACCGTGTAGACAGGATGCCCCTTGAAGTCCCGGGCGGGTGGAGGGGGCTTTCAAAAAATGAAAATCCTGTGGCAGAGGAGATGTGAGAATTGTGAGCGTATTTCACCCAAGGTAAATACTTGTTCCAATCTGAAGGGTTAACGGATGTAAGGCATCTGAGGGTTGACTCGAGTTCCTGATTCATGCTTTCGGTTTGACCATTGAATTGTGGGTGGTATCCTGACATGAGAGATACCTTGGCATCCAGCGCTGTACAAAACTGTTTCCATACTTGTGAAGTAAACTGTGGGCCACGATCCGAGAGGATTTCTTGAGGAATGCCATGCAGTCGAAAGACTTGCTTGACCAGCAGCTTGGCCGTCTGGAGAGCAGAGGGACGTTTCCTGAGAGGCACAAGGTGACTGGATTTGGAGAAACGGTCTATAATGGTTAGGATGGTTGTCATACCTTGAGATCTAGGGAGTCCTGTGACAAAATCCAATGCGATGTAGGACCAAGGTCTTTTTGGGATGCTGAGAGGTTGGAGCAAGCCTGCTGGGGGTTGGTTATTTACCTGAGTCATCTGGTGAGTACTGGCGAGACAAGGCATCGGGCTTCACATTTTTATCTCCAGGTCTATATGAAATAGAAAGGTTAAACCGGGAGAAGAACATAGACCAGCGAGGCTGACCGGAGTTTAAAAGTTTGACTGATTGGATATAAGCAAGATTTTTGTGGTCGGTCCATACCAGCACCGGGTGAACTGCACCCTCCAGCCAGTGGCGCCACTCCTCCAAAGCCAGCTTAATGGCTAGGAGTTCACAGTCTTCTACATCGTAGTTTCGATCTGCATGGGACAGTCTGCGGGAGAAAAAAAGCATATGGGTGAAGCTTGGCATCCAAATCTGAACATTGTGATAATACTGCCCCTACGCCTGTGTCTGAGGCGTCCACCTCCAAGGTGAACTGTTTAGCGGAATCAGGGTGAACCAGAATGGGTGCCTGGGAGAAGCTTTCTTCGAGACGGGAAAAGGCTGTGTCGGCTTATGGAGTCCACTTGAATTGTTGTTTGGTAAATGTAAGGGCAGTTAGAGGAGCAGCGAGCAGCCTGAAGTTTCTTATAAAACATTGATAGAAGTTTGCAAATCCGAGAAAACGCTGAAGCTGTTTGCGAGAATCTGGAGTGGGCCATTTGAGTACTGCCTTGATCTTTTCTGGATCTGAGCAAACCTGCCCACCCTCTAATATGAAGCCTAGGAAGGTGACTAATGGCTTGTGGAACTCGCATTTTCTAAGCGATGTGACGTTGGTGTTCAGTGATGTCTTTGGAGTAAATGAGGATATCATCAAGATACACAAAAACAAAGATGTTTAAAAAGTCTCTTAACACCTCGTTCACCAAGGCTTGGAAAACTGCTGGAGTGTTACTGAGACCAAATGGCATTACCAGGTACTCGAAATGGCCGAGGGGGGTCTTAAAGGCTGTCTTCCATTCATCTCCGTGAGGTATCCGGACCAGATGGTAGGCGTTGTGGAGATCTAGTTTGGTGAATATTGTAGCGTCTTGGACTGGTTCAAATGCAGAAGATAACAGAGGAAGAGGATATTTATTTTTCACAGTGATCTGATTAAGTCCTCTGTAGTCTATACAGGGACGAAGTGAACCATCCTTCTTACCTACGAAGAAGAAACCAGCCCCTAACGGAGAGGAAGACTGACGGATCATTCCAGCTGCCAGAGACTCTAAGATTTATTTTTCCATGGCTTGTCTTTCTGGACGTGAAATATTGTATAGACGACTGGATGGAAGTGGTGCCCCAGGAAGGAGGTCTATTGCGCAGTCATAAGGAAGATGGGGTGGAAGTGATGTGGCTTTTGATTTACTGAATACTTGTCTTAAGTCCAGGTATTCCTCTGGAACTTGTGACAGATCTGATGGCTCGGTCTCCACTGAATCAACCGGGGTGGAAATGGGTGAGGCAGCAGACTGTAAACAAACAGATAAACACTGAGTGGACCAGGATTCGATCCGACCTTCTGACCACTTTAGATGGGGGTTGTATTTGTACAGCCAAGGAAAACTTAAAACCAGTGAGCTTTGAGAAATGGGGAAGACAAAAAATTTTTTTTTTACTGCGATTTCCAGATATGATTAGCTCAATAGGTAGAGTGCGATGAGTAACTCGGTGGAGTGTTTTCCTATCAAGTGCGAGGACTTGATGGGGTGGATCCAGGGGTTCTATTGCTATTTCAGCTTGTTGTACTAGGGACTGATCGATTAGGTTTTGTTCACACCCGGAGTCTATGGGCGCAGATAGATTTAACGGATCTTGGTTGATTAGGAGGGTAGCTGGTAAGGTCAGTCTAAGGGTCTTCCTGTTTATCTTTTGGTCCACCATCTCCCCCTTTAAAGGTGGCGGACCCTCTCTTTTGGTCGAACTGGGCAGGCTATCACAAAATGATCTGATGATCCACAATATAAGCACTGGTTAGACTGCCTGCGCCGCTGTGTTTCTTCACGTGATTACCGGGTGCGCCCTTACTGCATGGGTTCGGATTCAGGGGAATTTACACTCATCTGGGGGCGTGGTGATTGCGACGGGACAGATGCACGGGACCTATCAACTACTTGTTCTCTTTTAGAATGCTTTCTTTTTCTCATGCGATTGTCCATCCGAGTGGCCAGGGTGATATATTCATTCAAGGTCTCGGGCTCTTCAACCAGAGCTAACTCATCTTTCAAGGACTCATCTAGGGACTTGAAAAAAGCTGACTTAAGGGCACAGGAGTTCCAGCTGGAAGCTGCTGCTAAGGTACGAAACTCAATGGAAAATTCTGACACAGGTCTATTTCCTTGTTTCAGGGCCACACTCGTTTGATCTAAATCTAACGAGAAAGTCTGTTTAAATTCTTGGATAAATTCATCAAATGAACAACCAAATTGACTACAGTCTGTAAATCTTGCTTCTGTCCAACGAAGCGCTTTGCCAGTTAATAACCCTAAAATGAATGCTATCTTAGCGTCATCATGGGGGAAAGACTGTGGGGAACGGTTAAACACCAATGAACACTGTAACAAGAATTTTTCTGGGTTTGGGGAGGTGACGTCACGGGAGTACGGAAGTTGTTGTGAGACTGGAGGAGAAACTGGTGACTCGGCGGCTCCCTCTGGTGTCTGGGATGTCTGGATGTTCAGGGCGTGTTGAAGGAGTGAAGCCATCTGATCTAGCTGTTGACTTGAATGTCGTTGTTGTTCCAGAATGGTTTGAAGTTTAGATCCGTGTGATTGGATCTGGAGGCTGTGTTTGGCTAAAGTCCTCATGAGTGTCTCTGCTGATTCAGATTGGGCTGAGTGTTCTGTCATTTTTTCTTCACTGATTTGACCCACATGCAGAATGACACTCAGGAGGCAACAGAAAAGTTTGACAAGTTTATTTTGACAGGTAGTGGATATTGAACTGGAACCGGGACTGGAGGCACAGCACTGTACGGGAATGGAGGACAGCTAAGTACTCTGGAGACAAATGGGGATTACTGAGAACTGGATCAAGATCTTTGCTTACCGTTTGATGAAAGGTGGTTGGAGTGGAGGAATGATGCAGAGCCTAGGAGGACTGAATAGACGCTGCTGCAGAAACGATGAGTTATCCAGGAACATGGTGAGTACTCTGCTGAGGCTTTGGGTGAGTATTTGGTAGTTTAATTATCCAGATCAATTTTACTGATTTGTGCTTACCTGGTGAGGCTTCGGTGAAGCAATTGGTGGAGGGTGAGATGCCTGGAGATGTCGGTATTGAGCTGTCAGCCGAAGCTTGATCCAAAATGGGTTTCTTTTGAGGCCTGAATACTTAGGCTGAGGCAGGATCCAAACTGAGGACTTAGAGCCAGAGCTGAAGATCGCAGGGACTTGAGATCAGTACTTGAGGTTTCCTAGGATGGAGCACAAGAGAGGTAAGAGACTATGAACCTCAACTTTAAACTGAGATCTCATAGCTTGGCCATTAGGAGTTACCACAGAGATTAACACTCAGGCACTGGAATGCTGACAGCTCCACCTCCTCCAGGTTGATGGAAATGAGGAACACCTGCTACCCTCCTCACCGAAGGATCTTGGCGGCATCTAGTGGTGAGTAAGTGTTAGCAACAGGCAAAAACAATACATGAAAACTCCCAGACTCCGACATCAAGTCCTTCTATTATTGTAACACCTCTGAGTCTGAAAACTCAGTCATTCTTATCAAGATGTTTCATTTGTTTCACTGCAGCCATGATGTTTCTTACAAACTGTGCACTCAGTTTTCTGGATGGGCAGGATGAGAGCAAGTGAGTGATGCATTCAGGAGCCAGGCTCCCATTCAAATGGATGCAGATGGTATAGCTTGCTATGGATATTCATATCAGTATTGGTGATAGTGTCATATCACACATAGAATGATATGCTGTATAGCCAAACTCTCTACCACAGCTCTGTAGAATGTTATGATGATGCTGGTAGGAGTGATGGTTTTTCAGTATCAATATGGGGAAAACTAAATTCTCTATAGAGTCATGAAACAACAGCATGTATAGCATGTACAGCAAATATAGGCACCTCAATGAAAGTTGTTTATGCAGTTTGGTAGTTTAGAGCAAACAGATGTGTGTTAACAAAGTGCAAAGAAAAGACATCAAGAATGATGAAATTATTGCTGTTTATTAATCTACAAAAGTTTTAAGGGTATTTTAAAACAGTTTGTGGCCTATCGTTTAACAGTAAGAAGGGTTTTTCAAGGGTGGAAAACACTGGGGCGGCTGTGGCTCAGTGGAAAGGGCAGTCATCTTACAGTCGGATAGGACTGGGTTAGATTTCCAGTTCCCCTCAGCCACATGGGGATGTGCCTCTGGGAAAAACAATCAACCACAAGGTACCTACAGATCTGTGTGTTGGTGTATGGATCTGTCCACATTGTGAGGTTAGCTGTGTTAATCAGACTCAAGTATAAATGTGCTTTTAAGTGGTCAGTACGACTAAAATAGTGCTTTACAAGGTCAGTCAATTTGACATTTAGTAAAGACATTTTCCAGTGTTCCCAGTGGTGCCATTTTCAGAGAAAGTCTAAGAGCTCCATCTTGTACTTTACAAACCTCACTTAGCATTTTAAATGTTAAAGTACATGACAGAACTTCCTTGGCCCTTTGCAGTCACTGAGACAACTATGAACCGAACTGTTTACCAGAAATATTCTGGAGTCATCCCAAAAACAGAATGAATGAATGGAGATGTTTCTATGTCACTGTTCTTTGTTTCCATAAAGATGAGAAACTGAAGTGAATAAAGTGATGAAGGGTATTTGGGCCAGACACATTTACTTGTGTCCTGTCCTCCATGTGCGCTTGTCAGAATTCATCTCCTGCTCTGCACTTGCGGAATGTGAAATGTGGATTAGGTATATTCTTGTTCCTATTATTAAGGCAGGGAATCCAAGCTTCCAATGTTTAGTTGGGGTCTTTGAGCCGACCACAATACCATGTGAATTCCACAAATGTTCAGCGTCAATCTAGTCTACCTCTAGTTCCCAGGAAAGCCACTTACATCTACCGCCAAAGTTTTTTTAAGGTTTTTTGGTTTGATGTTATGAGGTATCAGTCACCACCAAGTCTAATAGACATTTACAGAGGAATTTTGAGAGTTTGGCTTGTCTCAGTATAAACAAGGCACATGATGTTGGATAGCAGACCTAATGTGTTGGAAAAAGTCAGACCTCTATTTTCAGGAATAAATTCATAGAATTCAAATTTTTACATTTCAAATATTGCCCGAAAGGGTGAATCCATAATCCCCTCCTAAACTCATTTATGCCTTCACCGGTGATGGAAGTTCTTTCTCAATAATTGTTAAAGATATGTTAGGAAAACAAATATCTAAAAATGACTAATTTTGCAGATAAGATAGATAACTTTTTATTTCTTTGACTTCACTTCACTAATTACACTTAGCTGTGAACTGTCTTCTAATTGACTTTTAAAGCTAGAAATTGGCAATCTTTGTTAATATTGAAGGAAATATTACCCAATGTTTTTGTGGGACTTGCGATTTATTCAAATCCCACCTGCAGTTTTTCTGTGAGGAGCAGGGGTGTTTCCTGTGGCCGGGAACATTAGGGCTGAGCCCACACACTCATAGGGGAATCTGGGGGAACCTAACAGGGGAAAAGCTTTATTAGGCATCGTGGCACCTTGTTTGAAGCCAAATACTGCAGTATGTAATTCAAAATGAATTTATTTCTAATTAGTTATGGTGAATGCCTGGTGCTTCTCCTGGTCGGATGGAGACTCCACAACTGCCCTTACTTGTGTGTGTGTGTGTGTGTGTGCATGTTGGTTCTTTTTTTTTTTTACTTGTCCTGTCCGGCAGAGTAGCACTCAGAATTGTTGTCTCGGTGCCAAGAAGAAGCCAAATTTACTTTCACAAGTGGAGCATTACGGCTAACGCTATGATGCTCCACTAAAAAAAACTTTATTAGAAACTGCTTTGGGATTATTTCAATTGCAATGGACAAAGAGACGGAAACTAAAAGGGAAAAAAGAAGCAAGAGGTGGGGCAAAAAGGAAAAAAGGAGAGAAATAGAAGGGTGAAGACAATTCAAGATACTAGAAGACTGCTTCTATACCTGCAGAAACATAAATATAAGAACAGCAATGTTGTATTTGGTGGTAAATGCGGCTCAATATAGAACATCTGTGTATCTGTGAACACCTGAATCCAAACACCTGTGGGTGTAAGTGTGACCAGCTTGTGTATATAAGGTTTCTCCGTGAAAATATGCAATAGTGAATGTGAGGAGCCACAAACCTGCCCCCCTGGACCCGAGACAGACACAGAGGAGATCTGAGCCACAGATATCCAAAGACCCTTCCAGAGCACAAGAACCCCGGGAAGACCACCGCCAGGACCACCGCAAACCCCCAGAGAAGAGCACAGGAGGAACCACCCAGCTGGGGAACCACCCAGCAGCCACAGTGCAGAAGCCCCAGGGAGTTGCAGTGACGAGCTCACGGGCCACGCCCGCAGCCGTCTATGCCGGAGCAGATTCAGCCATGGACCCAGAGACCTGAGAGACCTTGGCATATCACCCCTCAAGCACAGGCCCGACAGAGCCAGGGGACCCAGGCCCTGTCAAGCAGCCACCGGAAGTGAGCCGGCACACACCAAACCACCCAGCCCTGGACACCAAGAACCACCAATACACCAGTGGGCAGAGAGACCAACCACCAGCAGGGAGTGTGGCGGGGAGGAAATAGGCCTCACATTTGATGGGGGCCTAAGCTGATCCAGGAGAGGGAGCAGCCAAGACCCAAGCTGACACAAAAACAGGCACACACAGTCACAATCACAATCACACATTCCCACTCTCATGCGTACACATAAAAACACTCACACCCACACACCCAATGTAAAGACACACAGCAATGGATGTCGTACACTCACTCACAGTCCCCATACATATTCTATATTCCCAGGTCCAGGTACCGATATCCCAGAGGGGCAACCGGCCCCCGGACCAGGAAGGTGGTCCCTCTCATTCCGTGATGGAGACAGGCAGACCGCCCAAGCACCAGCCCAGACTAGAGCCAGCACAAGCCGGACCTCAATGACCCCGCCCCGGACCCCGATCCCCCTGCTCCAACCCCAGCCCCCAATGACCCCGTCCCCATCCGGAGGGGGGACATGAGCAAAAGAGGTGTCCCAGGACGAAACAGTCCCAACCCCCCAATGAATTCCGATCATATATTCTGCTTTGTAATAATTTGTATGATCTAGTAATTTCCAAAACACATCTAGATTTGTCTTTTGAAGATAATTAATTGAGGATTCATGTATATAATATAGGGGAGACAGAAACATATTTGGTGTTGGAGTTGCTTGTTATATCCAAGATTATACACCAGTTATAATTAGAAATGATCTAATGACATATGACAAAATACTTTGGTTGCAAATATACTTACCACACTTAAAGCCAATGTTGATTGATTACCGTTATAGACCACCTGGTGCAAATACCTTTTATCTAGAAATACTAAGTAGAAATACTTTTGATCTGTGAAATGTTAGACTGCAATAGTACATAGGGCTTTGAAACAAATTGAATAGGTGATTTGAATATAAATTGGCTATCACAGAATTGTTCCTTAAAAAAGAAGTTGTCAGCTGTCTCTACGAGACCTATGGATTTACTCAATTAGTTAATATAACTACAAGAACATGCTTAAAAATTCACAGCAACCTGCATTGATCATATTTTCACAATCACACCTGAGCTATGTTCAAGTGTACTTACCATCCCTGTAGGTTGCAGTGATCATGATTTATCATGTAAGATATTTACTCAAGATAGATTCATTTAAGATGTTAGAAATATTTGTTCAGTTTTTTCTAAAACTAATCCTGATGATGCTCTTTAGGCCTTTGATGACAGTTGTATGTCTGTGGTGAACAAACATGCCCCAGTACAGACGTTTGTGGTCAGAAACCCTAGCACACCATGGTTACACAGAGAGATTAAAGAATATCTGAAACAAAGAAATCAAGCAAAGACAGATGCAATTATGACTGTTAATCAGTCTGACTGGAAATTATATCGTAAACTTAGAAATTTTGTCACACGATTAAATAGAAATAAAAAGAGAAAATATTATGTAAATAAATTAAATGCTGGTAAAAATGACCAAAAGAGAATGTGGAATACTATAAAAGAGTTGGTAGGAAAGAATGTTAATGTTAATTTAGAAAAAAAGGAAAATTTATGACCAAACCAAAAGATAGAGCTAATTATCCAAATAATTATTTTATTAACAAAGTTGATAAAATTAGAAAAACAATGCCTAATGTAGATAATAACAGATAACATTTAACAACAGAAAATATAATCATGAAAAATAAAAACTGTACATTTAAATTGAATAGTGTAGATATAAAACAGATTGAAAATTAAATTAAACTTTGTAAAATTTAACAACCTGGCCTTGATAATCTCGACTGCAAGCTTCTTAAACTGGTGGCAGAGGAACCTGCCCCTGCTATGTGTCATATTATCAATTAAAGTCTAATCTGATGTGTATGTCCACAAAAATGGAAAAGAGCAAAAATCGTACCATTGCCGAAAAACAAGAAAGTACCGTTCTCTTCATATTTGAACACAAATAATCTATTTACAGATTACCAACATGCTTACAGAAAAGGGCACTCCACTGTTACAGCTCTTACTTGTATGAATGATGATTGATTTAAAGAAATAGAAGCTAATAAAATAATAGAGGCAGTTATGCTAGATTTGTCTGCTGCATTTGACATTATCAATCATAAATTATTACTGAAAAAACTGGAATGTTATGAATTTGAACACTCTGCCCTTTTCTGGATTGAAAGTTATCTGACAAATAGAACACAAATTGTGTTTTTAATGGTTGTTATTCTAATGCTTGAAACTTATCATGTGGAGTACCTCAGGAAAGTTGCCTTGGTCCATTATTATACAGTATTTTTACTAATGACTAACCATCAATATTAAATAGGGCAAGAATTATGATGCAGATCACCCAACTATATGTTCATCTGAATTTACTATAGATTAACTCAGGACTATAAAAAGGGAATTACATTTTGTGGCTCAATCGGTAGAACAAAATCACCTGGTTTTAAAATTACAAAACCGAGTATGGTACTTGGTTCAAACTATTCTATTAGCAAAAATCCAATATTGAATTTAAAAATAAATGATGTATCTCAAAGCAAAACCTATCTCGCATAGGTAGGATGTGGAAAAAGGAAGACGTATGGCCAGGGCTGTAAGCATTAAAGGATCTGCTCTACAGTGGTTTAAGTCT